GGGGGGGGGGCGCAGCGCCAACTTAGAGGGATGAGCGGGGCTCATCGGGCCTCCGGGCTGCACTCCGGGAAAGATCCCGGCGACACTCCCACTGACACACACAATTCACCCCTCTCTGGTCAGACTGCCCACGCTCAAGGTGGGGGTCTCGGAGAGGGGAAACCCCAAGGGCAGCGCTCTATCTTTAGCCCCGAGTCGGACGAGGAAATCCTCGATGTGGTCGGCCCTTCACGGGCTGGTATTGAACACCACACTCCCCTCGAAATCCTCGATGTGGTCGGTGATGTCAGCCCTTCATGGGCGGGTAAGCAGACTCCGGCACTAGGCGGACTGGTCGGTCCTTCATGGACTGGTAGCCAACACCAGCCGCCTTTTGCACCATCAGTTCATCCCCAAAACTGGCCTGAGTTGCCAAAGCAGTCGTCCGGCGAGGCGGCTGCTTGTGAGTCAATACCACCAAAAAACCAAACAAGTCCGACAGGGGAAAGAGGACCGGCCCAAGAGCAAAAGGAATAAAGAAAAGTCAGAGAACACAACCAGGCTCCATGAACTGGAAACCAAAAAACAAAAACAAAAAACAAATGGAAACACGCTCTTGGGTAGGGGAGGACTCTACCGAAACTACAAAAAATCCGAGCTGCAGGTAAACCTGGTAGTCGCCACCAAGGCGGCTGCACCAGGCACCTCAGCGCCTGCCCCACAACACCCGGGGCAGGGGAAGGGTGAACATCAGGTGGGGGACGGGGACGCCGCTGGGTCAAGTGCCCCACCCTTCGGGGTTGGTGGTTCAGGCGGCGCAACCCCGACTCCCGACAAACCCTGTACACCCTGCGAACCCGTGCCGGCTGATACACAGGTGGCTGTCGAATCCGATACGCTGGTCAATGCCCCTCCCGCGTGGTAATGGTGGTTTCGGCGACGGATTCAGAATGGCCACAAAAACCTGTAAGGCCGGCCGGTTCCCCGGACACGGGCCCCTAACGGACGAGTCCTCCACCGGGTCTGGCTATGAGACGGTTAATCCGTTTGCTCCGCTTGCCGTCAGGGAGAAGCGGAAGCGGAAGAAGACGAAAACAAAGCGCTCCCAAAAGTCCTCGCTGCAACAGGCGCAGGTCACTCCCCCCTTCCGAGGCTCACCCTCAGAGGTGTCAGGCGCACCGTCCCAGGTGTCGGCCAAAGGCCCCGCGAAGGTCACCCCACTCCAGGGCTCACCCTCAGCGGTGTCGGGCGCACCGTCCCAGGTGTTAGCCAAAAGCCCTTCCTGGAAAAAGCCAGAAAAATTAGATCTTAAGAAAACCGCAGGGAGCCAGGGCGCGTCCCCAGCTGTGCCAGCCTCAACCAATGACGTCGTGGGGGACCCACGGGCCCAAAAGGGCCCAACAACCAAAAAAATCTCCCCTCCCCCCATAGTGGTGAAGTCTGTCAAAAACTTCGCCACTTTTAGGGACAAACTCGCTGAGGCGACGGGCGGCAGGTTCGAGGCAGACGCGAGGGGCCCGTCTCTACAGATTACCACAAAAACCCTCGAGGATCACGACAAGGCCCAGCAGGCTCTTCAAGCGCTAGGCCTAGAGTTCCACACATATAGGCCCAAACATCTGGCTACGGTTGACGTCGTGGTCAAGGGGCTCCCCTCCTTCTTCTCAGAGGAGGAAATTGAGGCGGAACTCCGTGGGTTGAATTTCGAGCCCACGTCGGTGCACCGCTTCAAGAGCCCCAGAGGAGCAGATACCACCACTGTCGCTGTCTCTCTGGCTAACAAAAAAGAGTCAGAAGGGATATACAAAATCAAGTATCTGCTCAACATGAGGGTTACTGTTGAGACGAAGCGCCGCAAGCAGTTATCCATCTGCTCCAGGTGTACCGCCTTTGGTCGCACGTAGAATTTCTGCAAAAACATCCGCATCTGCGGAAACTGTGGCAGGACAAGCGGGAGCGGTCCAGGGGGATGCCCGTATGACCTGGTCAAGTGTGTGCAGATGGTAAATCCAAGATGCTCGCGGTGCGCGAAGGCAGGCCGGAATGATGACATGGACGAACACAGCTCCATCTCTCCAAAATGTCCTTTATACCTCGCAGAGGTGGACAAAATCCTGGAGAGAAAGGACCGAGCCGAGGGCGCAAAGGCGAAACCGCAAACACCCAGGTTCGTCGAAGCGCCCAAGCCTTCAGGCCCCTCGCCCTGGCAAACCATCCCTGCGGTAAAGCCCTCCAGCGGGCAACAGCAGAATGGACAGGCAAAACCACAAACAGTTCAAAAGCCAGCGGCCGTCCCTCCACCTAGGACGGTCCCCCCCACCCCCCCGGCACTCGATATGCAAAACCTGCTAGAGCCTGGATTTATCCAGAACCTCCTAGGGCCCGTCATCCAGGAGGTGAAGGCCACTATCCAGGCCCTTGTGGCAGAGGCTATACAGTGGCCGAGGGACAGCCTCACGTCCTTCTCCTTCTCCCCAAGAGTCCTTATCAACTGATGTATCACACTCCTCCCAGAGGATCTTGACTAACACCGGCAGCCAAACGCATGCTGCATAATAGGAATGCTGTAGCAACATGTAAAGGCTCTTATCAGAGCCAACCGAGCCAACACTCTTGTGATGAGGGAAGTCAGTGGTTTAAGTACAGTGAGCTTCAAACGTCTTTGTCGGCCATTCCGCCTGCGGACGCACGCAGAATCAAGCACGGAATCCCTCAAGGCTCTGCGCGACTTCGGAAGTTAATCGAAGCAAGTCGCAGATTGACCAAACGAGGTGTCCGTAAGACAACACTTCGTGCTGTCCGGCGATCTCTAGGCCACAAGCTGAAGTTTAACAAGTTTGCTCTTCGTGGTGCTGTCCTTGCTTTACGTGGCCACATGTACTCTCTCGGAGCGGACAGACAGAAGGCCCCCAGCTAAACCAGCCAACCAAGGTGAGTTATTCACGCATTTCTCCGTAATGTTTATCGTCCTCTTGTCCCCCCTCGCTAGATCTCTGACGGTGTTTTTGTTTTTTTTCGTTGGCAAACCACGACGTTCTAACGTCAACGATGCTGTCAAGGTCCAAACTCCGAGGCCCAAGTGCCGCGTCCCTTTACTGGAAGTCTTCAAATTTTGTCAAGTGAAAGCCGGGATCAGTGCAGCCACAGCTACTTCCCGTGCTCTTCATGTGGCTCGATTCGTTGAGTACGGTAGAAGGACATTTGGCGAGACGGACCTCAAGACTTTGTTTGCACACGTCGATTTGCCAGCGGACTTTGTCAAATTTCTGAAAGAGAGCCCTATGCAGCATGTGACCATTTCTCACATCTGCAGTTCTATGACCGTCTTTTTATCTGAGTGCACTGCCACTCGCTCTCTGAGGGACCAAGTCTGCCGCAGCACTCAGCAACGGCGGAAATCTGGAGAAATTTGCGGAAAAAGTAAGTTGATCAGTGTAATTTTTTCCCCCGCGTGATGTTACAACGTTACAACCACATGTTACATATTCTTACGGGTCTTACTT